GCAGGTCGAGTTCTTCTCGCTCGGCAACCTGACGGTCTGCGGCGGCGGCACACCAAACGGCTCGGCGGCCGGCGCGCCGCCCGCCGCGGCCGCGCCGCACGCCATCAGGGGCAGCACGTGCCAGGGCGACCGCGACGACACCCAGGGTTACTGCCACATGCCGTGCCCGCACACGCGAACCGGCGCGATGCCGCTCAACGCCACCTGCGACCTGCGTGCCTGCACGAACGCCACGTGCTGCGGCGCGAGCGGCACGGAGTTCTCCTCGCTCGAGGGGATGCGGTGCGGCGCTGGCCACCCTCCAGGATCACTTCCCTTCAACACGTCGCTCGACCCGGGCCACCGTTGCGACTGCACCGAGACGAACACATACCGCGCCCTGCGCTTCGTCGACCCCGGCGGCCACGGGGATCTGCTCTACGCCGAGTTCACGCGGCTGAGCGACTACAACTTCACAGCGGCCGACATCTTCGTCGAGATCTTCAATCTCGCCACCGACCCGGGGCAGCTGCACAACCTGGCTCCCCGCACCTCGGCCGCGGACCTCGCGTTCTACCGAGAGACTGCACAGAGGCAGTTCCGGTGCAGCGGTCAGGAGTGCGTTGATCTCGGCCGTGCGGCGACGCGTCCGACCATGAAATGGTAAACCCGTACAACCCTCTGATACCCCCCGCACACGTGCTCAAATCGCGGCGATCGAGGGCGCGCGTTTGCTCGGTCCTCGGACAAAGTCAAAGAGATTAGAGCCGTATTGAGAAAAAGAAGGCGGCGAGTCCCCCTCCCTGCTCGGAACACGTCGCCGCGCGATGTGCCGCCTCGCAGTTTATCTCCGCAGCTCTCGCTCGCCACACAATCACAAACCGAGCCACAGAGAGTCAACAAAACAACTGAGAGTCACGAGAGAGGGTCTTTTTCGCGCTGTGTATAAAGGAGACCGCGAGCAGGGCCGCAGCCCCAATGGTTGCTGGATTTTTGGCGCAGCATTGGCAGCGGCGGCCGGTGTGGACGCCGCGGCGCCAGAATTCTTTGCGCGAGGCCGCGTTGTAAAAGAGGGGCTTGGATAGTAAAATTCTTTGTGCGACCCGCCTGAGCCGCCCGCCCGCAGTGGCGCTCGTCGTCTTCGCTGAACAATCGCTAGACAATGCCGCTGCCCAGCCGGAAGAAGCTGCACCTCGGCAAGACGCCGATGAAGTTTTACTTCCGCGCGCAAGACATAAGCGTCAACCTCGACGGCATCGACGTCGAGGGCAGCCTCGTGCTCGTTTGGAAGCGCGGGACGCGCCGGACGGCGAGTGAGCCATTCCCCATCGTGGAGGAGCTGTCCGCCGTGGACGGCTCCCTCTCGCGGACCGCCGCCACCACACAGGACATGGCGCAGATCTGCACCATGTTCAAGAGCAGCAAGGGCGCGTTCGAGCCAAAGCTGAGCAAGGTCTCCCTCGTGGTGGAGCCTCCGGCGGGCGGCGCGGGGCGCGGCGGCAAGGCCGAGCAGGGAAAGAAGCTCGGCTCGACCACGCTCGATCTCGGCGCGCGCGGCCAAGCGCGAGCCGCCGAGAGGCGCGCCGCGGGACCCGCCCGTGCCGGCCGTAGGCGCATACGCGTCGGTGGACATGACGTCGCATCCGGTGGAGCTGAGCTTCTTGGACGGGAAGGCGAGCGTGACGATGACGCTCGCCTCGCACTGGCTCAAGAACCTCGCCGCCGGCGGACCCTCCGACGACGGCTCCTCGGTCGCCTCGTTTTGCACCGACGCAGACAGCGACGCGGGATCCGAGGCCCAGCCCGCACCGCCCCCACCTGCACCCCGCGCCTGCAGGAGGTTCCCCCCCCCCCCCCCCTTCCCACCACCACCACACACACACCGCACTCCCCCACCCCACCTCAGGCCTCCGAGCGCTCCGAGCTCGAGGAGCGCTCCGCGCCCGCCCGCTCCAACTCGATCAAGTCGGCCGTGCGGGCCGCGGGCGCCTTTGGCGGTGCGAGACGTAGCCGAGTAGGGTGGAACATGCCGACACGCACCCGCTCCCGGCGTGCCCCCGCGCCAGCCTCGCACACCTCGCCGCCGGTCCCACGGCCGCCGCTCGACGCGCGCAGCCTCTCGCCCCCGCAGGCATGCGCCGCTCGCGGGCGAACACATCTGCGGCCGCCGCGTCGGGCCTCGAGGAGAGGTCGGCGCCCCCAGGCTGCAGCGGCCTCGGCGGCGGCGGCGGTGGCGGTGGCGGCGGCGGCGGCGGCGGAGGGGGCGGCGCGGGTCCGTCAGAGACGTACACGCCGATGAGCGCCGACGCGCGCGCGCATCTCGACGCCTCCCGCGGCGCGGCCATCGACCAGCTGTGGGCGCAGCAGGAGCAGCAGGACCGCTCAGCTGCGCAGGCGGACGAGGCGCGCTTGATCGGCCGCCCGCCGCGTTCCCTCCCTTGCCACCCCCCCACCTCCACGACCGCCGTCGCCGCCTCGCGCAGGCCCGCGAGGAGCTGCGCGAGGCGCACGACAAGCTCAAGCACTCATATGCTGAGGTAAAGTACTTGCGGCAGCGCGTCGAGCAGCTCTCGGCGGAGAACCGCGTGCTGCGCCGTGAGCCGCGCCGCGGGCAGCGCGACGCGGTGCAGCGAGAGATGCGCCGCGATGCGCCGCGATGCGCCGCGATGCGCCGCGATGCGCCGCGCCGCGTGCAGTTGCGTTGCCGCGTCAGCCCCGGGTCGCCCCGCAGCAGCGCTAGGCCCCGCGGGCTGTGCCCCCTCGCTGCGGGTGACGCGCCGCCGGCTCGGAGCGGTAGGTGATCCAGTCGCTCGAGGTGGAGTTGCAGGTCAAGGAGCAGGAGCGGGCCGCGATGGAGGAGAATTTGTCCGCCGCGTTCGGCGCCGTGATCAAGGAGCTGCAGGACCGCCTCAACGCCGCGCTGCAGGCGCGGCCGCTGCCGTCGGCGGCGGCCGGGTCGTCGCGCCGGAAGGCTGCGAACAGCGCGTCGGGGAACCCATTCTAGATGGCCAGTTGTGGCGCACCCCGGTCATCTCACACCCCGAACGGAGCAGGAGCGCCCCGAACGGAGAGCGGTTTCATGAGAGGCGCGGCGGGAGTGTTCGACGCTGCGAGCATTCATTCGCAAATGCTTGTCCGCGGCTCGCCTCGTGGTTTCGTCTTGTCGCTCGTTGTACTACTACAGTGGTTGTTTTGTTGATCTCGCGCGCGGCGGCAAGAGGCGTGTGCGTGCGGGCCGCGGAGTCCGGAGAACCGGAGGACACACGACGCGCGGCTCCACCTGCACCTCGGCGTTCACGCTCGCGCGCATCACGCAAGTGCTCTCTCTCGCTCACCTCACAGTACTGAGTACACTATACATATCACGACTGACGACATCTCGTGCATGCAACACGTTCGTAGGACTGTACCTCGTACTCCAGACCAGAGCAACTCACCGAACACGTAGGGGTCTCGACCCGCAGAGGTCCATGCCAAAGTTCAGTAGACTAGTACACTCACGGCTCGTCGGAACGGCATGAGCTGCATGTGCATGTGCTGCGCTGCGCAGTCAGTCTCGCGCCCAGGGCCTGGCCCCTACCCATCCTCCTTTCCCACGCTGGCGATCATGGCCACTCCCCGCATCAGCCACTTTGCCGGCTCATCCGCGCTCGGAAGCTCGACTTCAAAGAGGAAGCGGTCCCGGCTGGCGTTGGCGTAGCACGGGCACGCGTAGCTCGCTACTCGCCCACCCCTCGCGGCCGACCGCAAGGCGGCCGTGGCGTGCAGCACCGGCAGTGGCGCCTGCGTCTCCGTGGGGTGCGGCTCGTCGAGCTGCTGCAGCCGGCGATCCCACGTGCCTCCCTCGAGGTGCACGCCGCATATGTAGACGCCCTCCTCCGGCGGCTTCCGCACATCCTCCTCGTCGACGTTCAGCACTCTGACGTCGTCGACCACGTCGCCAAGCGTCCAGCCCTCCTTGAGTCGCCCGCGGCACACCTCCTGGCGGTTGGCAGCGAGGAGGCCCTGCGGGTTGAACAAGCCGCCCAGCCAGAAGCAGGCTGGCCGGTGGCCATGCAACCACTTGGTGAGCTGCTCACTCCGCCGCCGCAACTCGGCGATCCAAGAGCCGAGCCCATGCGAACACATCTGCGACGCACGCGCCCACCCTGCGGGCACCGCGGCGAGACGGATCGACCCCATTGCGTCGGCAAGCTGCGGCGTCAGGGCGATCGCGCCCTGCATGGCCCGCTCGAGGCCGTCGAGCGTCTCGCCGGCCGCCGTTAGCAGCCGGCGCATCTGCTCAATTTCCTGCCGCAGCGCGACGTGGAGTGGCCGAGCACCGAGCGCCTTCATGGCCAGGCGGACGGCGCCCGGGTCCGGCGCGGTGGGGAGGCTTGCCCTCAGTGCCCTCACCTGCTCCAGATCAGCCTCTTCTCGAGTGGCCTCATGGCTGTCGCCCTTGGGCTCGACACTCAGCACAGCCGTGAGTACTCCGTGCGCCTCAGCCGTGCGGAGCGAGCGATCGGCGCCGGCGGTGAGCCCGAGGAGAGCAGGATCGTCCCGGTGGGGCAGCCCCTCGATGTGCCGTCGGTGCCCCTCAACCTCGCCCGATTCGGAGCTGCCGTAGCCGGGGTGGAACTCAAAGCCGGCGTCGACCACGCGCGGAGTGAGCCACAGCTGGCTGTAGGCGTGAAGCAGCCGCCGGTCCCACTCATCGGCGACCCGCCCGCCGTGGTACACGCCGCACACCATGTAGCGCACCGCGGCCCAGTCCAGCGGCTGCGAGTGTTGGCGCGCCTCTGCGAGCCGGCGGACCAGGTCGCGCGCCGCCGCGAGCCAGTCCGAGGGTCCAAAGTCGTATGGGGCGCGAAAGCCGCTCCGACGCTCCTGCACGACAGAGTGCATGAAGGCGAGCGCGTACAGCGCCTTCCGGTCCGCGGGCTGAGACGCCGCATCGAGCAGCTCGGGCGGCATCGTCGCGTACATGCGCTTGAGTCGAGCGCGGACCCCACGCGGAGGCTCGTCGGCCACCTTGGTCGACCGCTTCAAGAGGCCCAAAGGGAAGCGGTCGTGCGGCTGCGAGGTGATCCACAGCCGGAATCCGGTCGGCACGTCCTCGAAGCGAGCCATCATCTCCTCGAGCTGCTCCATTAAGCCAAGCCCGAGGTGGCCATTCTGGACCAGCACCCAGCAGCCCTGCGTGACGGCCGTCTGCACCAGCCTGCGCGCAGCATCGTCCTGCCCCTGGCCCATGGAGATCGTGAGCACCGCCCGGTCTCGCCGCTTTGCGAGGCCGAGGATCGCCTGGGCAGGGCCCGACCCTCCCGAGAGCATGGCGATCACAGGTGTGCGGGGGCTTGACTCCGCTTCCACGGCGCGCAAGTCCAAGGGGCGCGAGTCGATGAACCGCCTCCCGAGGGTCTCGGTTATATAGGCTTGGATGGACAGCATCGTCCGATCTTGCCGCAGGCCGAGCAAAGCAAGAGGCCCCCAGCATCGCCTTCGAAACGAGCTGCGTCGTCCCCACTCAAGCCGACGACGCCGGCAAAGCAGGGCCGCCCGCAGGCGCCGAGCTCCGCATCACCGGCCGCGAGCCGCGAAGAGGCGCCAGCGAGCACAGGTGACGAGGGAGAGGCTGCGGCGAGCGGGCCGCCACGGCGCTTCGCGGCGGCCAACCCTCAGCTGGCTCGGGCCCTGGACCCCAAGTCTGGGCTCGCAGATAATTACTCGCTGCTGGGCGTCCTTGGCAAGGGGTCCTACGGCGAGGTCAAGCTGGCCATCCATAAGCTCACCAAGCGGCGCGTCGCCGTCAAGACCATCGCACGCGCCAAGCTGACGGATGCGAAGCTGCGCCGGCGTGCAGAGGCGGAGGTCGAAATCCATTCGCGGCTGCGCCACCGGCACATCGCGCGCCTCTTTGAGGTGATCTACTCGACGCGTGACATCTGCCTCTGCATGCAGTTCGCGCCCGGAGGCACGTTGCGAGAGCTCCTCGACGCGTCTGGCCCTCTGAGCGAGGAGCGCGCCCGCCGCTATAGCCGGCAGCTGCTGGGTGCGCTTTGCTATTGCCACGGCGCGCAGCTGGTTGTGCACCGCGATCTGAAGCTCGACAACTTGCTGCTCGACGCAGACGACAACCTCCTGCTGGCCGACTTTGGCTTCGCCGCCTCGATCGCCTCGACGCGGCGGCTCAAGCTGCTCTGCGGCTCGCCCCACTACTCGGCGCCGGAGATCTTTGCGCAGCGAGAGTACGTCGGCACGCAGGCCGACCTGTGGAGTACGGGCGTGCTGATCTACACCTTCCTCGCCGGCCATTTCCCCTTTCAGGCCGACTCGATGGACGCGCTCGGGCGCAAGGTCCTGCGTGGAAAGTGGGACAAGCCGCTCCCCGCGAGCGACGCCGCTCGCGATCTCGTGCGCCGGATGCTCGCCGTCCCCGCCGTTGAGCGCGCGACGCTCGAGGAGGTGTGCTCGCACGCGTGGGTGCTCGACGGCGCACGCTCCGCCGCCGAGGTGATTCCAAGCGAGGGCGAGGAGGAACGCGCGTGCGACGAGGCGGCGGTAGCCGAGCTCGATGCGATCGGCTGCAACGCGGCGCTGGTGCGGCACCACGTCGAGCACGGTACGCGCAACCACGTCACGGCGGCGCACGAGGTGATCTGTTTCGCGCCGCCGTTGGAAAGTTGACGTATGACGCGAGCCAGCGACGGCGAACATACACCGAGAGATGAGAGAGTCGAGAACTCGGGTATTACGGCGTAGAGCTGCGCCTGTGCGGCGCGCGTCGTCTTCGTCACGGTCAGAGTCGTGACTCGTGTCCGTCCCACATAAGTGAGATGTATGAACAGCAGCACCTCAGCAGCAGGCTCTGAGCAGCGACCGAGCGAGCGCACAGGGCGCCGGCAGCTCGGCCACGGGCCAGGGGCGAGGGGGGCGCGCCCACAGGCCCGACAACAACAGCCCACAACAGGTTTTTTAAGAAGGAGGAGCGGGGTCGCTATAGCCGAGAAGACTTCTTCCGCGCGTGTTATTGTACTTCCACGCCCCGTCTCGCACACTATCGCTCTCTCACTTACAAAAAGTCAGACATGGTCGCGCCGCCGAGCTCCTTCTGGTCGATGAGCGGCGCGTCGCCCATCCCGCCACCCTCCTCGTCTGCCTCGTCCAGGTCGAACTCCTCGTCGAGCAGCCCACTCTCCGCGCGCGCGCCCTCCTCCCCCTCCTGCTCCGGCTCAGAGAGCAGCCCCTTGCGCGCAAGCCAGTCGAGGATGCGCTCGGGCGGCTTGAGCGGCAGGTGCAGCGTCTGGCGGGCGGGGCGGCGGTCAGTCAGCCCAGGAAATGGGCGGCGGGGCGGCGGCGAGTCAGCCCAGGTGGGCGGCGGTGGTCGCGCGGACACGTCTGCGAGCGCGCCTCGTCGAGATGCAGCCTCATCACATTCTCGTTCGGCCGGTCCTTCCACATCTCGACCACTTCGTCAAAGTCGTAATTCTCGCGCTTCAGGCCCGGCTTGAATGTGCCGGGGAAGTCCGGATCCCACTCGTAGTCCGAGAAGACCTTTTGAGAGTCGTCGGAGGCGTAAAACCACGTCAGGTCGCGCTCGTCCTCCGCTGCAGTTTTCCGCTCAGCGCCGCGGTCCCTGGGCGCCCCCGCGGCGCCCTGCATGCGCGGTGTCGGCGAGCGCCCGATCGCCGTGCACGACGGCTGCGGCCGGTGCAGCAGCGCGGCGCACGACGCCGCGCACGCGGCCAAGCTGAACGACATCTCTCCCCAGTCGGTTAAAAAAATGGCGCGCCGACTCTGCCAAGCAAAGCCTCCCTTGGTTTGTCTGTTGGTGTGTTCACGGAGAGCCGCCTCTCTCGCGGCTGGACTCAGCAGGCCAAGTCATGCGGCCGGCTGGCGCCGTGGCAGTCGCCACTCGCACGCCGCGAGCCGCCCGCCGGCTCTCGGCCGCAGGCAGGGAGCTGGGAGGACACGATCAAGGGAGAAATCACGTCTTCACGACTCGCACAGTGATTTGGGCTCGGCAGCTTGTTAGCCCTCAGTCGAAGCTGGGGCCGGTCCCGTAGCGGAGAGAGCCCGCGTCGATGAGTTCGACGCGGTCCGTTCTTGTTGGTTTTCAAAAATCTCTCTCTCACGATCAGGCCGGGGCGGGAGGCGACGAGGGGCCCGCCGCCTCTCCCTTAGATATTTTACCGCCAGGGCTTTCTTTCTTTCTTGCGAACCGCCTTTGGCTTTGCGAGCGAGGGTTTTAAAATTCTTTCTGCACGACACTGTTTAGTGCCAGAGAGAGAGATTTGTTGTGAGTGCTGGGGAAAAAAGAAAACAGAAACCCAACGAGGGATGGGAGAAGGAGAGGGTCCCCACCTGCACGAGCAGGATCTTGGAAGGACAATCAGGGACACAGGGGAACGGGAGTGGGGAGCGCATCGCGACACGGAGGGGGGCTGGGCAGGGTGGTTCACCCAGACACGACAGGGTCCCCAGGGAAGAGGGATTCCTCTCTCGTAATCTATAGGACGGGTTGCACCCGGCGGCACGGGGGCAGGCGCGGGCCTCCTACTGGTTGCGCTCTCCTAGTTCTCCTGCTCCTGCTCCTGACAAGGGACAACGACAGGTTCGCAGCACGGTGGACTATCTATTCCTCGGCACCGGGCACCGCCTCGGTATATACAAAATGCGCCTGCGGGCGGACCCTCACAGATCACAGATCTCGCTATCACGGGCACACTGACAGGGGTAGCCGAGGCACACGCCGAGGGTGGCAGGGGCGGTGATAGGAGTCTCCCACTCTGTGGGCTTCACTGTAGAGGTGCGGCCTACGCATGTCATCGTCCTTGAGGGGGAAGGGGAAGGGGCTGTGTGTGTGTGTGTCCATCTCCGAAAACGATCTCCCGCCGGTTATAATAACCGACGGTAATCGATGATCAAAGTTGGGCGCCGGAACGCGATCGATGCACCGCCGCGAGCACCGGCGGCGTGATCGCGCCTTCTGGAGGGCGCAGGCACCGCTCCCCGCACCGGCCCGAGCCGATGCAGCGGCCCCGGCCCAACCAATCCGGCTGCCGGCCGGAGGGCGAGCAAGAGGAAGAGCACGCGCATGAGCCAAAAAGTGCCCGCCGGTATACCTAATTTCTTTCTCGCAACTGGTTCCCATCCTTTCCGCGCACAGCGCCGCCATCGGCAAAGCCCGCGCCAGGATTCCCTGCTACTTCCATGTCGCATCCTGCGGCGTGCTCCGTCGCGGCCCGATCCGCGGCCGCGGCGCGAGCCGAGCGAGCCGAGGCTCGCCGGCGGCAGCGCAGCTCCTCTTCGGCACGCCTCTTCCGTGCTCGCTGGCAGACTCGCGCACAACCTCTCTCACACACTCCGCCACCACTCCACAGGACTCACTCGACAGCGCGGACGAGGGCGCTGCGGGCGCCGCGGGCTGGGCGCGCGGCCAGTCGATGGCAGCAGGCGCAGCATCGTCGGCGGATGCGGCAGACGCGGCTTCGATATCGGTGGCGGCGGGGCCGCTCGATCCAGGCGCGGCGGCGTCTGGCGCGACGGACGAGGAGGAGTGGGAGGCGGACGCGCCAGACCCGCTCCTGCTCGAGGACCGCATCAGGCGGGCTCGCGTCGGCCCTCGCCTCCGTTCGGTGGGCCCGCAGCCGGCGAGGGCTCCGCAGCGGCGCGCAGAGCACCTCGAGCCGCCCGCACACGCGTGTGGCTCGGCGGGCGGGCAGTGCGCGTACGGCCACGCGCGAGCTCTGGTTGCGGAGGACGGGCTCGAGCTGTCTGCGGCGGCGCACAGGCCGCCACCGCCGCCGCGGAGACCGGGCGGCGCGTCGGAGCGTGTGTCTGCCCTCGCCGGCAAGTACAGCGCGCTCGCCGAGGAGAGGCGGCAGCAGACGCTGCAGCGGATCGAGGAGGAGCGGAGGGAGGCGGAGGAGACGCTCGTCACCACCGCGGGCCGGCTGCGGCTGTGGTGGAGAGGCCTGCTAAGGACGCTGTCTGGCACGCCCTCGGCGCCGAGCAAGGAGGAGGCGCCGCCGCACAATGAGCTGCCCTACCCCAGACCGACCGACCGCCCGGACAAGACGCGGCGAGACGAGACCAGCACACGCGCACGCACGCACGCACGCACGCACGCACGCACGCACGCACGCACGCACGCACGCACGCACGCACGGCTCCGGCACCATGGTGCAGGTGGACAGCCGCGAGGCGGCGATGCGGACGCAGCACACGCCCGCGGTTGGCCAGAGCCGGAGCGAGCGGCTGCAGGACGAGCAGTTCCTGAACGGCGTCGTGGATCTCATGCGCAACCCGCGCACGGGGAGACGTTGC